TTATGCAGCTTTATAAAATCATCCTTTAATTTATAATGCCCAACAGACATTTATGTCATAGTATTTGTTATGGTTTTAGTTCTGCATTTTTATTCTGTTTTAACATTTAACACACAGAATTACTAAACAGCAGTGATACTGTCTTTTGAAGGCGATATTTTAGAGTACAATATAATTAAATTAACGGTATGCAATAAAAAAACAACAGAAAATGGGATAACATCACACAGCAAAGAAAAAAAGGCAAACAAAAAAGCTTCTCTGAGGTTTGATAAATGAGCTTTCGCCAAAAAAGCATCACTTGATCCTGTAACTATAATTGCATTCAATTTTTCACATTTTTAGGGCCTGTAACTATAGGACTAATATAGCTCTAGTGACCGATGTGCTTAATTAGGTCTAACTTGTTAAAGACCAACTTCTAATGTTCCATTCCATTGTATGTCAGTGTATCTCTTTGAGAAGGACTAACTAGCACATGTGACATATCTCTGTGTAATGACAAATAAGAGAGTAGTGAATGGTTAATCAAATTCTGTCCAGCCTTTCGGGTATGATCCTAACTGCAACACTGATCTTAGCATAGATTTTATCAAATGGTTAACTTCTGAAACTGAAGGTTTCCTGCACCGTAAAGATGCTTTTGTTTGCTCATTGTTTGTTCTTGAAGAAATTAATGAGAAATTGGATAAGACTTGCAACCCCAGCCAATTGTGAGAATCCACAAATAAAGCAATACTTTGTATGCTGAGGTTGAAGAAAAAAAAAGTCAATACTGGTCAGTGGGAGATGCTCTTGAGCACACAATCCCTGCTTGACTGCAATATAAAGCCATTAAGACAATTTTGTTCTTAAGCAATATTGGCAATGAATGAGGTCAGACCATTCAAGTAAGCTTGATAAACAAAGCTCTCCCCGAATAAACCATTCATGGGCCTTACATACCTTTGAAAGGATATAGCCCTTGAGAAAGGTGCCTGGGTAGATGCACAAGACAGAGATTTATGATTTAACGCCAGTGGCCAATGGGCAGCGCTGAAGTCTGCGCACCTGTTCAACCCAACTCTAAATGTAAAGAGACCTCGGGCAGTTAAAGCAGCTCAGATCGGTGGGTGACACAGTACTCTGAACTATGCCAGCTGAGTCACTAAAATTCAGACCGATTTAGAAACATCTCCAGTGAACACCCCCCACCCCATCCCCAAACCGCCTCTGCTTCATTACATCTCTCTTTTCACTACATTTCTGTGCCACTTGACTCCATGCATTGCTTAAACAATAAACTATAAACTGTACTCCTGCCTATAGCACTCTAAAGTGGTGTTTTTTTTCTGTCATGCAAATCAATTTATAAAGATGGATGGTAAGATAATGACAAATCTTACTACTGAAACTAAAGACCACCCTTTACCGTAAGACGCTGCATGCAGATCAATACATTTGAGAGCAAGAAGAACCTCAGGGAACTGTACAGGAGGGCTCTATAGCATCTCTCCGAAGGGGGTATATTGATTTTTTTAAATCTATACAGTACATGTTGACTTGTCATCAGAATGTGTGAAACTAAATTAAAGTAGCATTATATAATCACAATGCATCAAATCAACCATGGTTTTATTATAGTAAAAGTGTAGTAAACATGTTTTTTTTTGTTTTTTGGCAGATTGGTTACTATTTGTATAACCACAGTTTTACTGCAAAACCATGGTTAATTTGTGGTTACCTTCAACCATAGTTTTTTGGTTTTATTTGAAGTAAAACCATGGTTAATTTCCGTAAAGGAAATGTATTCTTATGTATATGTATATATATATATTACACACACACACTTGCATATTATTATTGATTCTAAATATTGCATTGTGCAATTAACCATACTAAAAAGCAGTTGATAATCGATTTCAATTATCATGGTATCTCGAAACGTGACAAAACAGATAGTAACGCAAATGTTTTTTCAATAATTTTAAGGTAACCGTTTAGGTTTGACGTACCATGGTAATATCAAATCGCGCGCAGCTGCACATTAAAGAAACAATAAGGAATAATTCTCGTACTTTAAACAATATTGTGCTCTGCCCCAGATAAAGGATATCTACACGTGAAAGCACAACAAAGTAGGCCTACCCCACAAAAAAATAAAATAAAAAATAGACAAATTAAATCTCCTCCACATACACGGACCACCGTAACGCATCCACTGATAGTTATAATTCACAGCACAGGACGATTCCTATTCTATTAGCACCATTCATTCTGTTATAATTAGCATTCGTTGCGGCAGACAATGCCATTTTATGCGTAAATGTTTCTCACCGCTTCGACGCTTCCATGGCCAGTGGTTACCAGTGTTTGTAGCGGAGGTGGCTGCTCCCCTTTCGCTCCGTCCGACGCCATCTTCTCACTGTAGAGGACTGTTCAAGCTCAGGCACCACACACCACATCAAATAACGCATTCGGCACTGATTTAACTATTACACTGCTGCAAAAGAATCGAAGAGAGCCAATAATTCATCTTCCAGCTGTATATGCGTTGAGTAGGGCTGTGGATGACCGGTGAGGACTAGATTTTGACGGGGCGCAGGTTGTGCAGCTCAGTCCAGATGTAAACCTGAAAAGAGGTGTGAACCTACAGCTTTTGAGGGAGTGACATGAACGCGATCCTATTTTTGCACTGCTTGGGTTAACCTCTCTGTCGCCAGTTGGTTTTGTATACTATGAAGATTTGATGAAGAGATTATAGCGATGATGAATGGAACTTAACGTCATGATGAGATGCCTTAGTCATCATGCATAAAGATGTCGCTCAAAATAGGCTCAATTCAATAAATGACATGTTTTGATAACCCATGTAACATTTCAAGAGAGAAATAATTCCCTGAACAGCTAGGCCGTTTAATAAAACGTTAAAAGGTATGAAAAAGAAACTGATGTTTAGTCTCCAATGTAAATATTATGGTGTTTGAGTGGAGCATGTTAACACAAATGTAAAGCAGTGCACTTCATTACATAACTTTATGAATGCTGCCCACAATGGTGATGAGAGAAAATAATAGGCTACTCAAAATGACACATGGAATGGTGATGAAAATGAATAATGCGCCAAGAGGGCCTACATTTCTTTTGCTCATTATTAGCTCATTACTTCACACTTTTGTGCCATCCAGAAGCTTGCACTCTGCAAGTGAACGGTGGTGCCATCCCAAAGAGACACAAAAGGACCTTTACCTCGATTGTTCCCTGCTAGAATGACCTGCCAAACTGAAATCAAGCAGTCTATAGCCATTTTCAAGATACAGCTGTATCTGTTTCTGCATTACATATTGTTGCTTTTTTTGTTGGTTCAAATGCTTCTATTATTCTCCTCATTTGTAAGTCGCTTTGGACAAAAGCATCTGCTAAATGATTACGTGTTAATGTAAAACCATCACAGAAAATGTTCTGCACTTTTACATTTCCAAAAACATAATTCTGTAAGCTGTTTCCTCATGGGGACCAAAAAAAAAAAGGATTTAGGATTATGATGACTATTCATGTGACTGAAAGGAGAAGAACTGTTTGGAATGTGATTTATGTAGTTCATATTTTTCTCAGTGAAAACCAGATCATTCCATCTTGTTTGTGATTTTTATTTTGTTTTTTTGTTAAACTTATATCTGGCTATGGCCAAATGGTTTTGACATTACTGTCTTCTAGCCCCCACTTTCCCTCTTTCTCTGTACTAAATTACACTAAATTGAGGGGGAAATTGCATATTAGCCTACTTTCCATGTACCAGATATGATCTTTAATGTTAGACTGGCTTTCATTATAAAACCATAAGATATATTTCTCACTGTCCTTAAAAAAAAAAAAAAGTGGTATCAAACCCTCAATACTGAATGCTACTCACACAAAGTAATTTGATTCCTGGTGTTATTGCTTTTGTAAGAATGAAAAGCTGTCTATAATGCAATGCATTCTGTCAGCTACTACTATAATGTGGTCTTATTATTATAATGAGAGTATGTTTATCTAAATAGATAACCATTTACAATAGACACACTCTGCAATGAGGCCTTAGTTTATTGTGGGGGAAACAATCCCATTAAAAATGAGTTTAATAATTTATTTAACCTGTAATTAAATCTGCGGGGGAAAAAATCTGCTGCAGACACACATGACATTTGCATGTGCAATTTCTCTTTATTCTCACCATAGAAAAAATGTGTAACTCGTCATTATCCATCACAGGTTGCTTCACCCCTCGTTGACAACTTTCTATAAAAATATTGATAATAGTTATTGACAAAAGTGCTATAAATGCATTAGAAATCTTATTCTAAAGTATAAACAGATATTTAAGATTGTTGAATTATAATAACCGTGGGTGCTAAGCTGCTATTGCCACAATTCCTATTTCAATGGTAAAAAAAAAGACCTCTCGAATTGGTCTCTAATCTCACTTTAGGATTATGGTTATAATATTTTTAAATGTTTAAATGTTTTTATTTGGTATTTCGGCAGAAGATAAATTGTAACTACACTTTTTGACATATACAAACAAATATAGCCTAACTTACATCCTAAAAAATAAATATGCATAAAGAAAAAAAAAACTCCACTGGTAAAAGCAGGTCATGAAGGCATAGTAAACATAGTAAATCACTAGCTTGCAGAAAAGAAATAAAAGGTGACCAAAATTCTTCAAATAACAAAATCTTATTTTTCAGAGCACGGTGTAGAATTTTTAATCAGAGGATTTTGCAAAGCATTTTTAAGCAGTTTGTTCAATTACATTAAAATTCTAAGGATTATATTCTATTCTAGGCTATCAGAAATAACACCATTTCTTATGCACATGTGCATTGCTCAGTTTGGTAAAAAAAATATATATATAATATATTACTGCCACAAAAGTATAAAGAAGGTTTTTATTTTGTGGAAACGTTTAATTCAAATATACTGAAATCATAAGAATTTTTTTTGTAAATAATAAAAAACACAGTAAACTGCATGGGTCGATTTTACGTTGAAATCATAGAGGTTGAAACGCAACGAGAGATTGAAAGTCACATGACTCACCCATGTGTAAAAGTCAACCAATCACAGCGTTTGTTTGGGTTTTCGTGATATTCGTTACTTGGTTGCACAGCTCTTGGTGTATTTGGAAAAGATCATAGCAGTCTTTTCAAAACTGAGATCAAGAGAACTTATTATTAATCAAATGTCAACTCATAAAATAACAGCTGAGTTTTATTTGCCTTCTCCATTAAAATGAGCATGGCATCGCACAGCGGATTGTGTCGTGCACCACAACAGAGATGTCCTGTGACTACTGCGCTGGATGAATCGTATGTATCCATTTTCCCTGTCGCTGTTAAAGAGACAGTTCACCCAAAAAGGAAAAATACCGTACCTTAATGTTGTTTAAAACCTAAAACAAAATAAATTGTTTGACATAATGTCAGGGAGAACAGTTCTAACCTGCATAGAACTGCTAATTTAGAGACGCAACCAAGCTCTAGTCTAAACTTTTACAGATTCACCAGCTTCAACATGAGCAGCAGTTGCAGTTCAGGAGAGTCCTTGAAGGATGCAGGTTCAACAATAATCTCACAGAAAGAAGATGTTAAGAATTACAGTAAGATGAATCCTGCAGAAAAACTGTCACTTTGTGAGAGACGAGCTCAGTCCTTGGCTGATAGTGAAGAGGTACACATGACATAATCTTATACTTCAAAATACATATCTCACACTCTAATTTTGTATTGTCCTTTGTAACCTTATCAATGCCCCACATTTCAGTATGATCTATTATCATATTCAAACTTTTAGATGCTATGGGTCCCCATATATGACTATTTTCTTTAGAGAAGCTTATTTTATTTTATGTATTCCTTATGTTATTTTTTTTCTAATTTGTATAATTTATATTAATCTATTCATTTATTGAAATATATATTTTTAAATTTTAATCTAGTATTTGTTACTTATTTTATTAATTTATATCAAATATGCATTTTATATTTATTTTAATATCCTTTCATTTATTTAAACATTTTTTACACTGTTTTCCTCTAAACATATCCACAGACACCCTAGCACTTCCCTGGACACACCAGGCATAATCTCCATCTCCAGTTCATCAACAGTTACTACTTTTTTTATATAATTTCTCTAGTTTAATGTTTAATTGTTGTTTGAACTTTGCAGCATGACCTCTGTATCCAGGAGCTTGTGCGTTGCCTTGCACTGACCAGGCTGGTTTATGGAAATGAGCATTTTGCAGTGGCCCAAGCCCAGTCAAGACTGGCTAAAGCCTATTTGCAATACAAAGGTAAAATTTTTCATTATTTAATGCATTTAAACAGATAGAAGAAAGAATAACATACAGCGAGCTTGTTTTTATTGGAAAAATAAACCCTGCATTGACTGTGAATCGTGCAAATTGATTTCTTAGGCAGCCATATATAATACGTTAACTATCTCCTGACAGTATATGACCTCCTGTTTCCCAGGCTGGGCACATCAGACACAAGAACATGCGTCCCAAGCACTTGAAGTACTCAGCTCCAGCCAGCAGGAGGAGAGAGTGAGCTGCCTCAACTGCTTCCTTACCATACATCAGACTCTTGGAAGTGCTGCTCTAGTGCTTGGAAAATATCCTTGTTTACAAAAATCTTAAGTGTTCAAATCCTTTTTAGGGACACTATATGTTTGTGTGTGTAATATTATTAAACTGTTTTTTTTTTAAGTAGAAAAAAATTATAATTCATCATACAGACCTTGCTTTAAATAATGTACTAATGGTAGTAGTTTGTTAATTCACTACTGATGAGTTCTTAACTATGAGAACCTTAGCAGAGGCTGAGTCAAGCTTTCAGAAGGCAGAGATAGTCATGGGAGACATTGTAGCACATGAAGCCATGGGAAAGGAGGACAGAGTGGACACTGAGTATGAAATATTTACAAATTTAGCAAGGTATGAGAGCATTTTAATCTTAATTTAATCTCATTTTAATCATTTTTTTCCCACATGGAATTGTATACAGGCCTGAAATAAGACATGGCAGCTGAGTCCACATTGATATTCACAATTTTTGAAGGATTAGTTCACTTTAAAAAAAACTTTTGCCTATAATTTACTCACCCCCATGTCACCCAAGATATCCATTTCTTTCCTTCTTCACTCGAAAAGAAATGAATGTTTTTGATGAAAACATTACAGGATTTTTCTCCATATAATGGACTCCAAATGAGAGTTTCAGTGCAGCTTCAAAGGGCTTTAAACGCTACCAGACGACGAATAAGGGTCTTATCTAGTGAAAAGATTGGAGCATTTGTGCTTATAAAACTTTTGAGATGACCAATAGTTTCGCTAGATAAGACCCTTATTCATCGTCTGGTGTCGTTTAAAGCCCTTTTAAGCTGCACTGAAACTCTCATTTGGACCTTTAAACTGTTGAAGTCCATTATATGGAGAAAAATCCTGGAATGTTTTCATCAAAAAACTTAATTTCTTTTCGACTGAAGAAAGAAAGACATGGACATCTTGGATGACATGGGGACGAGTAAATTATCAGCATTTTTTCTTTTTTAAAAGTGAGCTAATCTTTTAAGGGCTTTGGCCCTCCTGTACTTCATTGGGACCTTAAACTAATATCAACTGTAAAAGTATCTTTTTCACCACAAGGTGGTGCTCCTCATCCACAACAGAATTGAAGCTTTATGATAAAATTCACTTTGGCCACTGGAGGAATAGAAACAGAATTATGTTTTTTAGTATCTTATATTATCATATCCTTAAGTGCCTGTGAAGCTCACACATTTAATATTAACCTGTCTCCAGGTTGGCCGCATTCAGAGCAGAGTAGCAAATCATCTGTGTAGTATACATTTCTCATGAGTGTTAACTACATGAAAATCTGCCATGCAGAAAAAGTCACTTACATCAGTTTATTAACTATACATAAAGGAAAGGATTTACTTCTCAGAAATTCAGCAGGTCTACTTTGTTCACATTAAGTTATTTTTATTTGGTAATTCAAAGATCTTTTGTTTCTCAGGGGGGAATAGATCCCACCGGAGGACTCGATTAACTTGTTCAATAGCTTGTATTGATCCCAGTGTTTATTATGGCTGGTCTCACCAAGCTTGACTTTGACAATGAACGACTGTGGTTTGTCTGCCAGCTGTGTTTATGTTGTGAGTGCAGGGTGACAGTATCTCCCTGGGCCTTCTCAGGTTTTATTATTGCTGCTCTTTGTTGTGCGAGTATGAGAGAATGTAAACTGCTTTGTAGTAAAGCTCATTTATTATGTATTTATATTATGATGTCCATGTTTTTTTTTCTACTACTCTTCGCAGGTTTGTGTTTTCATCAGTTTGTCAGCTGGTTTCATGGTCCCGGAAGAATGTGCATATGCGAATTGTGATGAAAGCTTTATAATTCTTCTGCCTTTGACTGTAAAGCTAGTGTTGACATATTTGAAATGAGCGAGCCTGCGCTATCAACACATACCACCACAAAACCCCGAAACAATGACACACGCTTACTGCTTTTTCATCCGGATGGATTCAAAGAGCGAACGAACATCTGTCAGCATGTCTGACATGAATCTCTGCACATATTTACATCAGCCTTTGTTCGAGACTTGCTGGTTGGGATTTTTGCCTTGAGAGAACTCAAAAGTGAAATTTGTTCTTCATACACTCTTAGAAGAAAAGGTTCGTATTTGGAACCTTCTATACAGAACCCTTTTTAAGGGTTCTTTGTAACCAGGAATAATTTTCTATATGGAACCTTTTGGGTTCATTCATTATCATTTGTTTTGTCCTTTCTGGATTAAATATATTGACAAACATCAAGACCCTAAACTGTATTTATGAATGCATGTGAATGATCTCAAAATTCAAGATATGGGGGTTAGATAATGTATATATGTATATCATTTTATGTAGTTAATCAATATCACACGAAGAGTGCCCTTTCAGTTTTTCTCCTCCAAAAAGCAGCATGATATTAAGTTACTACAACAGTTTAATAAACAATAATTTAATTACAACTACAAAATGTTGCAAAATAATGTAATATATGCATGAATAATAGCCTATAAAGAACCTTTGTGCCGAAATGGTTCTTTCTTGTCATTATAGAACCTTTTTTAGCGTAAAAGGTTCTTTGGAATCCTATACTTTATATATAGAACCCCAATGAACCCTTTTTTCTAAGAGTCTTTAAGTTTTCCTTTCACACTTATCTTGAACAAAGAAAAGCTTAAAGGTTAAGTGTGTCATTTTTTTCCATACAAGAATCATTCTTTTACCTTTATGTTAGTTTTCCAAAGCCTATTTCATCATTATTTGCCTCTTAAAACTAGAGGCAAACTTATGACCCTGATAGGTAAATTCATAACGTACAACGGTTGCAGTGAGATGCACATATATCAAACATACCTCTTCTCTGTTTTCTTTGGTTGTCTTCTTGTAAATTAAAGATAGGATAGGCAATTTCAGAGAGGTTAGCCATAGCAAGCTAGCTTTGAAGTCATAAGGTCTTTCCACCCCCTCTTCCACCACTCCTCCCTCAAAACACATGAACGCGAGTCTGCAAAACATTACAAACGGATGGCGTTAAATCACCTCAAAGCACATAACATTACAATAATAATGAACATAAACAACTTCCAGAGCTCTGACTTGTACCAACTGACTGCTGCAGATTCATTTCAGCGTTGATTAGCTCAGAGTAGAACGCCATCGGTTGCCATCTCTTAATTACGATAGTGAGGGGGTGAATGCAGCATAAGCTTATTTGGTTCAGGAGGAACTATAAATGGCGGCTGCTGTTTGTTCGCGGTACTCGGTGACTGTCTACAACTCTGCATAGCCTCATGAAACACGCTGATGATGACGTGTGAGGTCTGTGTGAGCAGGTATGCAAATACAGATTGACAGGCAGGTAAGACACCCTATTATTACATTCAGACCGAATGCAATGATTGGACAAAACATTGTTTGATCCTGAGACTTTCCACAGAATATAAACTTTGCCTACTCTACCTTTAAGCAGAGTTAAACTTGACTGGAGACTAAACTTGGAGTGCTGTTACAACAGCCTGAAGTAATCCGTGTTTCTTTTTTGTTTTAAAGGCAACGATGTCTTTTCTGTTGCTCTGTTTTTTTTTTTTTTTCTGGCACTATTTTCTATCAAGCCTGAATTTTTCAAACACAGTCTACGTCAATATTGGTCTGTTAACAATTACTAAGCAGAAGGCTTGGGGGACTACTTGGCAGTTCATGTAAAAATCCCTAATTGCATTACGCCCCTGCACAACGGACATTAAATCAGATTTCTCCTCGCAGATTATATCTCTCCTCCCACAGAGGATGGCTGGTATTATGCTGGCACTGCGCGCCATAATACAGGACGTGTTTAGGTTTGTGTCCCCGGGCAGCTCTGCAGTTTTCGCGCTGCATGTCCCACTGCCCCTAAAAGGAGGCCCGTAGTCTGGAATTTCTGATACAGCCCTGAAAAGTTGCCAGGGTACACAGAGACTACTATGAGAAAACCTTGGTGGAGTCGTGTTCAAAATCTTTGCCATTTTGCAAATGTTGCCCTTGAGCGTTTTTCACTGATTGCAGTAAATCCAATTGGACATTCCGATTAAGAGATTTAAATAAAATCTGTTACACTTCTAAAATATAAACCGGAGATTTAAGATAAGACATGTTTACAGCTCCATCATCAATTACGCAGATATGGGTGAATACTGACAGATTATGTGTAATGTCAACCATCTCTGGTACAATTCCACTTGCATCATGCAACTTTTTTTTTTTAACTAGCCTTGTATTGATGGAACAAGGATGCTGCATGAGCAGGCTATTCCCTCTGAGATGGGGAAATCGAGTTAGTGATCCATTAGAGTGGATGACTCTGGAAAGGCTCAAGGCTTTTAACAAGATGGATTGGTGAAATATGGGATCTCCCTGTGGTGATAGATGTCTCTATATAGTCCAGTGCTACACACCTGCCCACATCAGAGCGAAGCATCATGGTTTAGTTATGAGATCCAATTGAGATTTTTTATTTTTACATTTAACCCTTAAGAGAAACCTTGAGCATTTTAATCTATTTTTAAAATAAATATAAGTTACAAAGTAACAAAATAAATTTTTTTTGACTGTAAAAATGGCAGTAAAGACTTTTATAATGTTAAAAAAGATATCTTGAAATACAGTAAGTGCTGTTATTTTGGTTTTCTGTTAATCAAAGCCTCCTGGGGAAATAAATATCACGGGTTCCACAAAACGTTTAAAGGGGTAGTTCACTTTAAAAGAACTTTTGTTGATAATTTACTCACCCCCATGTCATCCAAGATATCCATGTCATTCTTTCTTCGCTCAAAAAGAAATGAAGGTTTTTGATGAAAACATTCCAGGATTTTTCTCCATATAATGCACTTTACTGGTAACCAAACGGTTCAAGGTCCAAAAGACAGTTTCAGTGCAAACTGCAAACTGTTCACAGGGCTTTAAACGATTCCAAACGATGAATAAGGGTCTTATCAAGTGAAACGATCACTCATTTAAAAAAAATAACAAAGTTTAAGTTTTATAAGCTCAAATGGTCTCCTTGCTCTGTTCTGTGATGCGCGTTTGTGACTCTCCTGTTCGAACTCGTTTATCAAAATGAACTAATCTTTTCCCGAGTCAATTTGTTCCTTTCGTTCGTTGAATGAACCCCTAATGAAATAAAGCCCTTTGAACAGTTTGCACTGAAACTGTCTTTTGGACCTTGAACGTTTGGTTCCCATTGAAGTGCATTAAATGGAGAAAGATGCTGGAATGTTTTCATCAAAAACCTTAATTTCTTTTCGACTGAAGAAAGAAAGACATTGGCATCTAGGATGACATGGGGGTGAGTGAATTATCCGCAAAAGTTTTTTTAAAAGTGAACAACTCCTTTAAGCAGCTAACTGTTTTTATCGTTGATGAGAAGCAATGTTTCTGGAGCACCAAATCAAGATTTCTGAAGGATCGTGTGACACTGAAGAATGGAGTAATGATGCTGAGAATTCAGCTTTCCCATCATAAATTGCATTTTAAAACATATCAAATTAGAAAACAGTTAATTTAGGTTAAAATAATATTTCTGTATCAATATTGAGGTTTTTACTGTATTTTGGTCAAATAAATACAGCCTTGGTGAGCATAAGAGATTTCTTTCAATCTTACAGACTTTGTGTCTGAATACTTTTTCTAGAACAGCACTGAGTCTCTTGTTCTTCATTTCTACACAGACAGCAGTGAGTCAGTTTTCTGTGCGTTGCTCAGAAGTGAGACTGAATGCCTCCAGGCTGATATTGAGAGTGGAGAATCAGACCTAATAAAGACATGAGCTCTTGTCAATTGAGTTCAGCTCTGTAGAGAATGTTTGGATTTACGGCACTCCACATTTTAATAAAAGAAACAGACGCCCTTTAAAGGTTCAGAGCTAGTACAACCGTCCTATGCAATACATAGCAGTTCTTCTGGTTTTTAACCAGTTTGCATTGAACAGGACTCTCTTTTCTCGATCTTCGTCCTTTCATTGTTTTGGCATTTTTGCCCATGACTGGCATTACAGACGAGCTATTCTTATTATGATGGCATGCACTAGTAAGGTCAACAATGTGCTGTATGTGACATTGTGGATTGATTTCATGATAAATGACATCTTTGTGCCTGTGTGCATGTGGTGTGTTGTATAGGGTGTACCAGCGGCAGGGAAGGCCTGAGAAGGCCCTCAGTCAATGTGAAAGGGCCTTGGAGCTGCTTCAGGAAGGAGCTCAGCTCAGTCGGGTCTGCTTTGTTTACAGAAATATGGCAGCCATTGAACAGGCACAGGGACATCTGGATAGAGCCATTGAGTATCTCCAACAGGTAAATTCCTAAGATTCCAACTCATATTAAAGCAGAGGAGAGGTGCAGTGCTGTCAAATCCATTTTTGGAGTATTAAAGGAGTAGTTCACTTTTCAAAAACCTTTTGCTGATCATTTACTCATCCCCATGTCATTCAAGATGTCCATGTCTTTCTTTCTTCAGTCGAAAAGAAATTAAGGTTTTTGATGAAAACATTCCAGCATTTTTCTCCATATAATGCACTTCAGTGGGAACTAAACGGTTCAAGGTCCAAAAGACACTTTCAGTACAAACTGTTCAAAGGGCTTTAAACAATGAATAAGGATCATGTGACACTGAGGTACACTGGAGTAATGATGCTGAAAATTCAGCTTTTGACATAAAAGGAATACATCACATTTTAAAATATATTAAAATAGAAAAAAGTTATTTTCTTTAAAATTGAGCATACAAGACTTAGTGTATGACATGAGTAATTAGGAAATATTAATCAAATGACGGACAAATAAACATAGCATATTATGAATATTTCATATCAATATAATAAATGGACAGGAATGTTATTTTATTATTATTTTCCTCCCATTATCACATTGGTTGAGATTGCATCCTCCACAATCCATATTTGGACCAGGGGTTGTGTTTTTGACATCCTCTGTCTAATGGTTTTTAAAACTGGACCACAGAATTATTTAAAGCCTGAAATGATTAATGTTTCCAATGCTTCCGGGTGGGTCTGATATGTGATATAGCTGTATTCAAGTCTCTGTATCTCTCTCTCCCTCTTCTGCAGGCTCATTCCATTGCTCTTAGTCAGAATCCCGGGGGTCTGGAAGGGGTCCAGATCGCTCACAGCTTGGCTCTGGCCTATTCTTCCACTTCAGAGCCTCATCACAACGGTAACAGAATGTTACTCACAATAGTCCATCTGAACCCGGATAATTAATTAGGCCCTGAGCATCACAAAGAAATTATGAGATGTGTTATGAAGTCAATAGTATGGTAGAATTTTGAGTAAATAGGAAATATGATCAAAAAGTCATTCTGTCCTTTAGATCAGTGCTTCTCCAACCTGTCCTGGGACCCCCCCACCACTGAACATTTTGGATGTCTCCCTTATCAGGCACCCAATTCAAGGCCTTGTCCACACTAATAAGTTTTCGTTTGAAAACAAAAGTTTTTGTTTTTTCTTTGTTTTAGTCTTCCGTCCACACTGTTTGTGGTGTTTTAGGGTTTTTTTTAGCTTTTTTTTTTTCCCGATAAATTTGAAAGCAGTTTTCGCATTGTTGTGCACTGTAAAAATGGAGGCATTTGAAAGCAAAGACACGTTTAGTCATGTGACGCATATTATACCAATGATATCTATGGTTGTACTGGCATATTTGTGCCTGCTATTTACTTTCATAGTGTTGCCAAAGATAAATGTTCCTTTGTTGAACCTTCAAATTACATTCCTGCAAAGATGACAGAAAATTAACTCGCAATTAGTGTCCTGCAGCAAAACATGATGACAAAGTGCATTTACACCTTACGATTTTGTGTGCAAACTCGACGCAACTATGATTGGCGAGATATTTTGCAAATAAAAAGATCACTCAGAGGTGAGAACCTTTGGTTCAGATTACACGATTTTAACCCTATTTTGGCACGATCCGTTTGACTAGGGTGTCGTAGGGATTCGTAAACGACAACAGGCGTCGGGAAGCAAGATTCTATCATATCATCTAGTATAGTGTGTCATAGTGGGCGACAACCTACGTCGCGTCTGCGATGCTTCACGACATCACGACAAAAAGACTAGCATGTTTAAAATTTTTAATGGTCGTCCACGACGGTTCCGTCCCATGTATGAGGTTGACCAATAGGAGCACAAGTTTTTCCGTACACAACTTTCAAAAATGGCTAAGCGAAAGAGAGACGATGGTGCTAACGTTAAAACTAAAAGTAAAAATATATAAGAAAACAATATTTTACCTCAAGTTCTCTTTGGAGGATTGACAGGCCATACTGTCCTCTTCGAGCAGGGTTCTCAAGTCTCACGCAATGGCGTGTGAGGCACACACACACAATTCAACCAGTTCACACGCCACACCGTGTATTTCTCACGCTGAAAAGGCAATGCCGAGCAATCCAGGAACGTGTCCATTGTTGGGGTTTCTTTCTTTTTTTTTTTACTTTTTTTTCTGAACACAGGACAGCCAAAAACACTCACTGCTTCATCCATTGTTTGTTTACGTTCATTTCCGAAAGTCACTCGCTACTAGTTTCGCCTTCTCGATGACATCACGCGCGCCGTTAAAGACGGCATGCGATGACTGGTCAGGAAAGCAACGTGTAGTCTGACATGTGTCTTGTCCACGACACGGCAAGATTTTTAGGAGTCAAAATCGCATAATCTGACACATTGACTATCATAACAGACAAAAAAAAAAAAAAAAAAAAAAACGTGTAATCTGAACCAGGAGACAGTGTTAATGGGTGGGGGCTCCAGGAACGTTGATGGGAACCCCTGCTTTAGGTCTGATGTAACGTTTGGAGTTTGTCAATGAAGTGAATTGTGTGGATCACACTGTATCTAAGTGTTTAGCAGCCTGTACATAAGCAGAGCTTTTGTTTTAGCTGCCCTGCATAACAAGTACAGCAGTAAAGACTTGAAGGTGACCCTCAGCTAATAAACCGAATTACTAGAGTAGTTCTTCAAGGGGAAGTGGGGGAAGTGTAATTATGTGAATCTCTTTTCCCGTTTCAATAGATTCAGCTGCACACTTTTTTGAGGAATGTATAAGTGCATATAGAAGTGCACTAGGCCCACAGGACACACTCACCCTATCTGCCCAAGATGACTTCAGTCATTTCCTCCTACTCTCGGGACAACAGGAGGTCAGCTTCAAATTCATCTGAATGTGGTGTATATTACGGAAAAGATATGGATCTTCATATTTTAACTATAGGCTATATATCATTTAAAGGTTAGAGTCAGTAAGTAAGGTCAGGTCAAATGTATTTGAGTAGCACTTTTTAAAATACACTGTTCATGGTTAATAGTAGCATTTAGCAGATTAGAGCTGGTTGATAATATAATTACTGTGTACATTTTGCAAAGAAGTTTAAAATCAGACAAGTGGGATTTGCTATAAAGTATATATCACTATATACTATAGCATTTAGTATGGTATATACATTTTTTTATTTTTATATATAGATATGTATCAAGGATGCATTAAATTGAATGTTCTATTCATCAAATGCTGAAAAAAAATCATTTCATTAAAAAAATTAGTAAGAAGCACAGCTGTTTTCAACATTGATCATTAACATTGAAGTTGGGGTTATCTCTGTCTTTGTAAAGAGAGCTTTTTGTTTTTGTTTTTCAGAGCTGCGCTGAGATCCAAAGAGAGTCTCTGTCCCTTAAGAAGAGCACGTTTGGTGAACTGAGTGCAGAAGTGGCAGAAACGCTGCAGCTGATTGGTGGAGTGGAGATGACACAGGGTCACATGAGACACGCCTACCGGACACTCAAGAAGGTGAATCAAATCTAATACATGATCACTATGCTGTAGGAGTTGGCTGTTAGCTGCTAATGGATATTTACTCGTACCTTATTCATAAACATCCGTGTGTTACTTATCACATATAGTATCTAGTTAAACAGCTGCAATGTATTTATGATCAAACATCACAGGTATACTAAAGTCAGCCACTACATTATCCTTGTCTCCTAGTATGTTCTAAATATGGCTTTTATTTGATTTTTATTTAGTCACACTGTGAAACCCCCTCTGAGATAATTTGGGGACTGTTGCTCTTTGGAAACCTGTCCCCACTCGTCTGTAAGCGAGCACTGTTGCTATGTTGCTTTGTTGTTGTATTGAAGGGCTCCATTTCTGGGGTTGTGAATCAGTGGTCCCACGCTCAGCGTTTCCTCAGGCTACTAACCTTTCCCTGTTACCTCTGACAGATACGAGCAGCTCATATCATATTCTTTCTCCTGTAATCATGACAGCTGCTGCAGCAGAGCAACACACTCTCACTTTAGACTTTGGCTTAAAGCCAGGGTTGTGTGGTTAAAACAGAAACATGGATTTAAATAAGCGATAATAAAGTTAGATTATATACTCAGTATAGTGTATTTTACTGAGTCTTTAGATGATAGACAGAGCCACAAAGCAAAGACACACACACTTTTAAGAATCACTGCAACTGTTTTCCCATAGAAGTGGGCCCCATGACATCACTTTTGCCTGTGGAAAGTGATGAAAACATCGACTTTTCAATCACGAAGGAAACTTTGAACAGTACTTTCCTTTGTTTTTTTTATGGAAAGACTGCTGTCATGTCGTCATTTTGAGTGTTTTTCATCCTAACCGTTGCTGTTGTTTTGAAGAAGGGAATGAGAGTGGGTTTATATGAGGAAATGAAGTGGCTTGGCCAGGTATCATGAAATATCTGTGCCAAAGGCACTCCTCCTCTCTTCTATGTCTGTGAAATCAGAGTCAAGCCGTTCACTACCATTTGAGCTCCACACACCAGAGCACTAAGTCTTACTTTATAGGTTTCAATTTTTAGCTGTAACAAATACACACTTTTGGATATTTTAGTTTCACATTCACAGACACTTATGACTGTATTGAAGCTCAGCTAGCCATTTATGTTTCACCAGGCCTTTCCATCCTTTATGAAAATGATGATAACAATCATCACTTTTAAAAGAATGAACAATAATTCTTTATTAGAACTGTTCAGTAGTCTGTGTAGCAACCATATTATATATATATGGTAATAAGTCACAATGATTTGGGTTGTTTTTGAATGATGTCATTAATATCATCAACTTAAAAGTACAAATATTAAATGCAACCTCGAATACGAATAAAAAAACATGCATAATACATTATAATAATTACTATATAAATATACCCTACAGATAAAAAGGTTTGGAATAATTTGTTTTTAATGCTTTTTTATTATATAGTAAGAATACAGTAATGTTGTTAAATAGGATTACAACTTAAAATATGTTTTCGTTTTAAATGTAATTTGTAAATGTATTACTCCAGTCTTCTGTCTCACATGACCCTTCAGAAATCATTCTAATATTCTGATTTGGTTCTCAGTTAATATCAGTTATTGTTGGCACTCAATTATTAATAATGATTAATATTATTATCATCAATGTTGAACTTGTTTTTGTTGCAATTGAAAAAATATTAAAACTGAAAACAGCACTTTCACAATATTACTATTTTTAATGTATTTTCGATAAAATAAATGAAGCATTGGTGAGCATAAGAGACTTCTTTCAAAAAATTTCAAGTGGTATTAAAAATATTCATGCATTTTGAAGTTTTAGATGATTGTCACCAATGTTCGCAAATGTTTTGCTAACCACCTATATCTGTCTCTCTTTCAGTGTCTGGATATTCAAATTATGCTGTATGGTCCACAGCACAAGAAAACCAAAGCCACAAAAATAACCGTGGACATGCTGTCTCAGTGAGTTTCCTACTCAGTCACGTGTTACACATTCACACTATAGCAGGAAGTCACAGTGCACTCTAAAAATATGCTTAAAGTATGCGGACATTTCACCTGAATGTAGTGTGTTGCTGAAAGTGAATATTATTAATGCTTTGTGGTCTTTTTCTAGGTCACCAGAGGTCAATGAGAGACGCAAGGAAAGTCGTCTTGAAACAAGGCCTCCATTTTGTGCAGCGGTATCATCTGCATCTGACATCTAGTATGTCTACCTCAAAACAGGGAAGGGAAATCTGTGGATTGGAAAAAGCAAGGCAGTGTTTCTAGAACAGCACACAAGCTCTATTGTGTATTTAGAGTGCTTGGCAAGGTGACTACCTCAGCACTTCAAAAAATGAGAACAGTCCAGTAGTGATCTAATACACCGTCACAGTGGTTTCTGCAATCACTCTTGACTGGTGAGCGGCAGGCCTCTCTGCAAAGAGTTTGAATTCTTATATTATTTCTGAAAATTGAGCTGAACTCACAACTCTGTAAGGGTTTCTTTAATGTGTTTGCATGTTAACCAATGTTTCAGACTAGTCTTTTTAAGAGTAAAACAGCACACAAAACACCCTTTTTGTGAATTTTAATTTCGCAAAAATACATCCCCAAACCAATCTTTGCTAAGGCAGTAAATCATGTATAGCAAACTGTAAATCTGTAGGTTTCACAGTGATGGTTGAGTCCTAAAATCCTATGCATAGATTCGAATAAGCAACAGCAGGTTCTGAAACACCATCTTAAGGGATGCAGATAAATGGGTAATAACGATCCTTAATAACTTATGATGTATCTGTTAACACAGTGTTTCTCAACATTTTTCTGTTAGCCTAATGAGTAAGACTCAAACACCCCTTTGTCAACATAACCCAGAAATGGGATTCTTTCATCTTGTATTATACTGGATATTATTTAAGTCACTTAAATGTGAAAAAACTCTTATATTCTGCTTTGTGTCATCAAAACAAATGTAAAAACTCATGACATCAAGCACCAAACTAGTTTAAGAACCCCTGAGATCACTGTGTTAACATACATGATATTGAGGATCTCATTTCTAGATCTATGATAGTTTTTGATAATACTGACATAAAAAGCTACTTGAAAATGAAATGGTAAATCATTAAACAAAGTTGAAATGATTTTACACATTTTTTTTTTACTCCCAGCATTGTTAACAGGCACAGGACTGTCACCATTGTAGCATCTGGTGACATTAACATTAATATGCTGATATCTGTTAAAAGATAAATAGAAAAAATAGAGGAAAACACACATGCTTACACTTCTTGAAATCTTCAGACACTGTTTTACCTTGTGGTGTCAATGGAATCCTAAAAATAGACTGTCATTTAGTGGAGCTGAATCCTCATATTGCATAATAGTAGTTGTGACACAGACTTAATAGCACCGAATAGCTATTCTGGAAGCACTTACACACTTCTGTGTAAGCTGCCTAGCACTTATTTTGAATGCAAGATTTCTACAAGGATCTACGATCCTCCCTCTCCCTCCCTCTGTCTCTGTACAGTACTAAAGCAATGAAAAATGTGTTGTCCTGGAAGAGCAGGATTGCTAGATTAGTGCTCGCTGGTCTAATGTCATTTAAGGATTAAGAGATCTCTTATAGGAAGGGCAGTCTAGTGCTTCTCACCTTCAGAACTAGACACTGGCAAAATGTTGACCAAACTAATCAAAAATATTCAAATTTGTGAATGAAGATATTTGTGATTTTATGATTAAAGTTTTGAATAACTCACATTATTTAAGCCTGCACTAATCTAGAATTTCTGCATACTTTGGTTAATATTTCCATCTGATCAATCTCTGTTTAACATATTTCATAAAAAGATTTAAAACATGCCAAACTTGTTTTTGCAATTCTATGGAAACTAGAAGCACAAGACGGTAAAATAACAGCGTGTGTGTTTTTATATAGTCAGCGATGTATTTTTTAAGCTATTTAAAAATTAAATGGGAAGAAAATACTGTTTTTCACTTTTTCTGTGCTTAGTTAAAGCTGTACTATATATTGAAAATGAAATAAAATGTGGTAAAGTAAAGTATTAAAGTGATTAGCTTTAGCTTTGTTAATACTTTAGCTATGTCAGTTACAGTATTGTTCAAAAACTGGGATCAGTACATGGACCATGAATTTTAATTCTGGTTTACAACACCTGATTTTTTTGGTTCATCTCATAATGAATTATTTGATTGATATTCAATGTGTCGTTTAGATGTTGTTTCATGATATCACTCATCTTTGGGGCTTTCAAGATAAACAGTTGCGATTCTTTTCTCATGACAGACCTTCAAGTGGGGGTCAATCATCTGGGTCTGTGAGTACTCAGTAGCGCTGCCGCCTCTTTGTACTTTAACGGTTCCTCCGCTTGTTGATGCAGAGGAGCCGTTGTTCACGTCCATCTTAAAAGTGAGGGATTTCTCACTAGGGCCGAGCTTGATGTGTTTTTCCGTCTTGCCGACCTCATCGGTTGATCTCCATTGTTGGGTCTCTTCTTTGCTGGTCATCCATGGCATTCCCTCCACTTGAAACTCCTCTTGGGAAATGTTCATGGTGTATCCTGCACCAGCTCCACCACCAAGGACCTGTTGAAGTCCTGGGTGGGAGGAGCTCAGCGCTGCCATTATCTGCTCTTCAGACAGATCATCTCCTTCTTCCAGCAGCCCAGACTCCTCCAACGTCTGGGACACATTAACCTCAGCCACAATGGTCATGGTTCCGCTGTCTGTAACTTGTTCAACTTTTTTGATGTCAACAGAGACATTTTCTGGAGTCTCTCTACCTTTTGTCAAAAATGCAAGTTCCTCCTTGAGGGCTCCAGATACTGTATCTTGGATTTGCTCTAATGCTCCTCTGAGCTGCTGTTCGGGGTCTAGAGACTCCTTCTTCAGGATCCCTACTATGGACTGTTGCAGGGTGGGAGAGACGTGCACCTCCTCTTCAATTATGCAGTCTTCGATGTTGTCTCTCAAAAACGAGTGGTCACCATATTCTGGTGAATCTCTGTACCTCTGACCTTCAGCAGTGGGCTGTTCGTGGTCATCTTCCTGGTAATATCGTTCATCAGACAGATCATCCATAACTCCATAATGGCTGTAAGACACAAACCTTCCACCCTCCTCAAATTCCGACATATTGTCTTCAGGAGTGGAGACAAAGTATTCTTGTGACTCTTGGACATGCGAGAAGTATGGTATGTTTTCATCTCTGGTAACTTCCTGAAATTGTACAGAGCCACTGCTTCCATAATGAGAGGCTTCAGCAGAACCACTGTCAAAGGGTTTCATGGTCTTAGGGTCACTCTCTAGCTCCTCTATTTGGAAGAACATCGATGAGGGACTGATGTTTGGTTGTTTAGACTTAATCTCCGCAGTCTCTATTTCAATTTCACTCTCCTCATCACTCTGAGACTCCACAGGTTCCTCGATTATCTCCACATTCACTGACCTATTTCCCAAACTCTCACCTTGCAGGCCAAGACTCAGCAGGTTCTCGATCATGGTTCCAGTTGGGGTTCCTTTGATGTTCTCCAGGGTAACTTTCTTGACTCCCCTGTTGAGAAGGTCCTCCAGGGCAGAATCTTCAGACATATCCAGCTCCTCTTCAACTTTAGATTGTAAGACAATCTGAGTCTTGGTGGATCCGTCCTCTTGCTCCGTTTTCTCCACATGATATGTGAATTTTGAGTCAGGGGACATTGAGCTGACCCTAGTATCTAAACCAGCTGGTTTCATGACCTGCTGAATTATTTCCTCAGTAGAAATCGCATCTAGTACTTTTTCCTCACCTACAAACACCTTATGCCCTACATTTTCAGACACTCTCACATCTTTAGCTATTGATTCTTTCACATCCCCACTTTCTTCTTTATTTGTTGCCTTGGGTTTTTCTATATCTTGTTTGGCATCCATTATCTTTTCTTTCGGTTCAACATCTTGTTTGCTTTCTTCAGTGGTGTTCTTGCTCAAACTCGCAAGGGGTGATATCACATTCGCTGGCTTTGGTTTCTCTATTTTTGAGGTTGATATACTTTCAATTGTATAGGGGGGACGATCATGTGAAACCTCCTTTCTCATACTTCTCTGATCGGTTTCCTCTCTCTTTATCTCAACAGAAGAGACTCCAGGTTGCAGGGTACTGGAAGCAGCTGCCTGCGCTGCTTTGGTGAATGAAATCATGTCCCTTCTTGAAACAGGACTTTGCTGGGCACGATTTGATACACTGATGGGCACGATCCTTGAGGGTTCATGTGAATGAAACTGACTTGATGTAGATGAGGTTCTCACACTGGAAATAGGCTCCATATATTTAACATCATATCCTGTGAAGGCTTTTTTCCTTGTATCTGGCCGACTTGCCGAATTGATCGACACTCTTGGAGTGTAAGGATGGGATGGCATTTTTATATCTACAGTAGAAAGATAACAGATAAAAATGACATTTTACTTTCTAACATCTGTTAGAATTAGAATAATAGTAAACCAAACTTTAATAGTGTTAAAAATCATATGACACAAGCAAATACCTATCTTTCTTTCTCTTGAATGCTGATTAGACCGCATTTGAGCATGTCTTCCTTCTTCTTCCAAGAGTGCCCTGATGAACATGACAATGTCAAAGATACAGGTAAACAGGCATATTTAAGGTCTAATTACTTTGAGCAGAACATACAGTATCATGAACAACCTAAGCACTTCTTTTTCACCTCTTTGGAGAATGCTGACTACCTCCATGCTCTGCCATGACCATGCAAAAGCTCAAACAACACTGAGGGCAACCAGATAACCTACCAAGCCCATGTCCTAAGCAGAAACACAGTTAAAGTCACTAAAAACACTCTTTATCTCCACCATTGCGTTTAATTGGTTAAACGGGTCCTTGAGCAGCGAACCTACCTTGACAATGCTTTTACATGAAAAATGTGCCGAAGAACCAAAGCGAAGCAGACTATGTGGAGCTACAGACGGCAAACGTATGAAAGTCCCCTGTGATTCCTTTGAAAGACGGCACTAAAAATAACTGCCACAATGCACCCTGTCCGTTTTCATTATGGCTTAAGATGAGGAGCAGTTTGAAATAGACAAATGGAACTTCTACATATTCTTGTCTCAATATTATCCAAAACATTGACATCTTCAGACAAGAGACCAACCAAACATTTGATTAAGAATAAATAAAGGTGGTACATACAGTTTCAAGTACTTACAATGGCGGATCTTCTACATGGATTATGAAGTAGGGGAAAAAATCTCTAATCATTATTTTTAATCTACTGTTATGTAGCTTTATTTAATAACTCTAGATGCTGATCTTTCATGTGCATTAACTACTGCATCAGACAGCTTTACAATAGAATGAAAATCATAAATAAGCTTCAGTTTTTTGTTCAACATACATGGATTAGGTCATAAATAAAGGAGCTATCCAGTCTAATAAGAAAAGAGAGGCGGGACTGTAAGCAGACTTGCCAAATGGGCGGCATTAGTTGCTCTGTTGCTGCAGTGGCTAAAAATACATCTAGGCTCATGTTAGGGGTGGTTGCTATGTCAAACTACTCTACTCAAAACTCAAAACAGACAACAGTCGAATGTTTATATTCACATTATTACTGCATGGAGAAAGTTTTAGAAACCCATACTTTTAAAATAGCAGAATAAGAGGCCATTCACACAGAACGTGTTTTTGCGTTTCAAAAAATGCTAGACGTGGGAACTTTGGAATGGTAAAAAATTGTCATGTTTGAGATGCTGTAAAAGATGCGAACATACTACGGAGATGGTGTGTATCAGTGCAAAAACACGTACTGTGAGATCGGCCCCTAACAATGAAATATGAATTTAAGACTTTCAAGGACTCCTCCACTGGTCCTGTGGGATGTCTTGTCAGCCAAAGTCCATGAAGCACAAGTAATTTTGGTATTAATATTTAATGTCACCAAGAGAATGTAGGAGGAGACCTGTTTTAAGAGCACAGAAACAGGTCATTCATCCCTGTGCTTGAGTTAGCATCAGACCATAGACCGTACCATAAAAAAGTACATGAGCTTGAGAAAATAGTTAAAACTGAACGCATGATTCAAGTCCAAGCAGAAGACCTCTGGGTTCATTTACCATGAATTATCAGAAAAAGAGAAGCTGAATGTGCTCATTTAAGTGAATGTACATAGAACGTGAGATATTGATTTTGTATGCTCTACCTGTATGTTGCCACTTCCAAAGCTAGACCCATCTTAACCTGTAAGAGTTCCTGATGGTCCTTCAGCTTCTCTGAGATGGTGTTGGACAACATTCTGCGCTCATACTCCAGTTCCTCAATGATAGCCTGTATGAAAAGAAGATAAATATTTAGCCTGTTTGCTCTTTTACACACACAGAGAGTACATAGTGGATATTGCAATAATACACTAAATAGTATAGTGTTTAAACTATAAACCTATTTTTAACTCATCTCTCTCTTTCAAAAGAGTGTCCACTTGCATCTTATTGACCCAAAGTGTATTTTGGGGGCTACTGTTTGTGTGATGCACCTGTTTGAAAGCTCTTCCAACATCACCCCCAGCTGAATCCTCATTATTTATTTAAAGAGACGGGGTGATTTAATGATAGAAGAGTTATCTACTTTATGTTGGTCCAAGTCACAAGACAAGACTTTTATAAGTCAATGTAATTCACAGTTCAAATTCCTAATATGCTACATTGAATGGTTGCTACGAGCCTTTGAATTCCCCACACTCCAGTGGCTCCAAACTCTCCATCAAGTACTTTTGGTCTCAAGTGGTGACATAAATATCATCTCTGACCAATTTTAGCTATGCGATTTGAACATGTTCCTAGATCAACGTCCTTGTTGATCCTGCAACAACATTCCAATCAACCAATCAGATCTGAGGAACAAGTTTATAGTTAGTATCAGGTTTAGGCTTACAACAAGAGTTAAAGAGCTTCGATACCATTCTCATTCACCCATCATTTCCCTTTGATAATAGGGATAATTTATGGGTAGGGTTAGATTTAGGGGTATTTTTTGGACAGGAATATTGTTCCAGGGTCAACAAAAGATGTTGAATACATGTCAAAATCACAACACACATCATTAGTCTGTTTGATGAGTGCATCTGTGGTTTTGGAATCGGAACATTTGGCACTCAATAGGCTAGTCTAACTAACTGCAGTAATATGTTAAGACTGGCATCCTACATTCAATTTAGCCCACAGTGACACAACACTTTACTGATGCTTGCACTTTGTTTCAGTAACTGCTCATTTGTCATTCTCCCTGGAGAGAAGCAATAATGGGATGAGGGTTTATTGCTCTTTTTTTAAGGCACACTGAGCAAGAGATGATAAACGTGGATTTTGGCAGTGCCTAAGCACTTCTCACTTGAGCTCCAAAAGGTGTTGGATAATGTTCATCGACATGAAGTTGATGTCTGCTTGGTCTCCACTATGTTTTGTAATATTTTACTTTACTCATGGATTAACTAAAAAACACTGATAAACTTATATTTTTCATAAATGTATAAAACTAGGCCTATTTATTAAAGAAAAACAATGTTTTTGAGGGGGGAAAAGTCAACTGACAAACTTCTCAACATACAGTAAGTGGGTATGTCATAAGAAATGTTGAACGTCAGTTTTTTTTATACAACTACATGTTAGTTATTAAAGTAAATGTCAGAAATATATTCGAATCAGTAACTTTTTACGAATCAAAAATTTTTCGGCCATTGTAAGGGAGGGGATTACAGACATTGATGTTTAAAGCGCCATACTACTTTTTTTTTTATCAAATATATCCCATAGATGGGATAACGACGTGATTTGTGCCTCTAATTGTAAGAAAAAACAGTAATGGTAATGTGTAACTGCTCTAGAATGTGCCATGATGCTGCTGTCACTAGTAGTAGTGCGCACAGTGGGTGTGGCGCTGTTGTACATCCTTACGCAATCCCTGTTTTCATCTGTACTGTAGTGACTTTATTAATAAAGGGCCTTTTGTTTTGCTTTGACACCCACCTGATACTGACTGATTTCATCTCTGAAATGTTCTTGCATGTTCTCGAGCTGCTCCTCAAGCTTCAGCTGCACTTGTGTTTGTTTCTCAATCTCGTCACGCAGCCTCTTGAACTGTGAAGCACATTCCCTCTTTTCCCTCTGAATGTCCTCCAGCCTCGCGTGGTCTGCTTTTATAGACTCTTCGATCTCCTCTACCCTCAGGCGGTACATGTCCAAAGTCCCCTGCCAGCTTTCAGTGAAGTTGGCCGCATATTCCTGCATCTCTTCCATCGTAACTGCTGGAGGTGCGTGATGTGTTTGAGTCACAACGCGTACAGTTCGGGAGTGCGCCTGGTTCCTCAGCTGGCCGATTTCCTTTCTGTGGGCATCTTCTAAAAACTTATATTCGTTTTCAAGCTCAACAAGGCGAGCTTCCAAAGCACTGTTGGTCTCATGAGTATGATGGAGCTGCCTCTCGCAGCCTTTGAGCTCAGTGCCGATGCCTTTGCCCACCGAAGCCTCATCTGAACGCATCGCTTGAAGCATCTGGAGTTCATTGCGCAGCTTCTGCCGTTCCATCTCTGCTCTGCATTTCTCGAAAGATAAACGCTCCACCAGTCTCCTCATTTCCCGTAGTTCGGACATGTGTTTGTTTTCCCATTCTCCAGACCTGTTTTGTCTGACTGAATTTATTTCTCTTAGTAAGCCGGCATTTTCTTGTTCCAACTGTTTTGAGCGCATTAGGTACTGGCCGAGTCTTTGGTTGAGCTCTTGTAATTGGAGCTTCTCGCTTTCAAACGGCTGCATTCGGAACATTTTTTGTTGTTGTTGTTGTTGTTATGAGAAAATTCGGGTTACGCTTAAATATGTCAAGTTAGAAGTTAATAAATTATTTCGTTGTCATCTGTGTTCTGCGTCGATGAGAAGCGCTGGGCGGAGGCAAAGTCGAACAAGTGCGGAGGATTTGAGCTCTGAGCTGATCCAATGTCCCGTTAGTGAGTCGTGAGTCCTACTATGATCACGGTTTAGCTCATGAATATTAATTACGCAACGCTACGTTCACCAGTGATTTGCCGTTGGCAGGAATGCGCGAAACTGTTGAATATTAATTCGGTTGTGTGACTGGACGCTTTCTTAACAACGTCAGCCCGCTCTAATTAATATTCATGACCCAGTCCTTCGCCATGGTAGGTTGTACAAATTCTGTCCCGTTCAAGATGTTTGAAGTTGTGCGTCTTTAGCTCTATGATGGGATATGAGATGGCACTCCCATGTGGAGAAAAACGGACAATGCATGTCTCATTTGCGCAGTCACGTTCGGTTATAGCCCTATTCAAGACATTTATACAGTCTATACTATTGCACAACATCGTTAGTTTCGTCTTCAGTTAACGTTACAACCTACGAGAAAGGCGGTAAACCGTGTTTTAAGTTAAACTTTTAACTTAATAAAACCTCAATCTCGATGGACACGGACACCACTCGCGAAACTGTAGCTGTAACAGGTAAATTAACGTTAACAGTTGACGTGGGTATGTTGGGTTAACTTTTGGGTTAATTAACTTATTTCGTCGAGTGAAAGTTGTGTCGCAGTCTATGGTAATAGTTATAAGTTGTTGCCTGAATAGTCGGCTCTGTTGCTTTTAATTTTATGTATGTTAAATGCTGTTTTTATTTTTTCTAATTTACTAGGTTTTGCCCCTTTCCGACAATATGTAGTGAATCCAAGTTGGGAGGCAGCTAAGGTAGGCCCTACTAGTAAAACAAAACATTTTTTAATTCTTTTACATATATACTTATAATTAAATTTTAGCAATTTGGCCAAATTAAAGTAATAATTCGCCCAAAACTTTAAAACATTTTACTCACCCTCATCATGTGAATGCAACTAGTTATTTATAGTTATTTATAAAATAGTTATTTTCTTCCATGAAGAATACATTACACCTTTCTTTTACTTAATGGTGCTGTTGTATATATTTGTAGCTTACCATTGAATAAAATGCCAAATTTTAGGTTCCTATAGGAATACAAATACTAGGTATAAAACCCATGTGCTATAAAGTCATTATAAGTTCTTGTTAGTAAAATGGACCACACACTATGCCACACTTTGCTATTTGAGCAGAGATTGAAGATGGCAGGACTTGGATTGGGCATAGATGTCCATATTATGGAGATTCCTGTCAGTTATGCAAATTCACCAGAAGTTCTTGATGATATCTGGCAATCAATGACTCCAAAGGTAACAAACAATTATTTATACATAGTCGAAGTCTTGATGAAACACTTCATAACAGAGAAGGGAATATGAGATGCAGATGAGAAGTTTACAGCATCTGAAATGACATATCTAAAAACTAATTTTACTTTTGATACAAAATGATGACAGAGACATATTCTCACTGTGATGGGCAGGTTGTTATCCATTTGGGCATAGCCCCGGGATCCAAAGGCATCACACTGGAGCAAACAGGCAAGAACTACTGCTACAAAGACAGGGATGTGAGTGGCCTGTACCCTGTTCATCACTGCTGTATTGAGGGTGGACCCGAGCGACTGGACTATCATAGACATGAGATCTCTCAGTAAGAATTTAAAAAATATGGGACTTGATGTCATCTACTCCAGGGATGCTGGGAGGTAATAGACTAACAATTTGATTAATTGATAAAACTTGAAATTATTATTCATCTATAAAAATGTAAAGTTCTGTAAAAATGTGTTGATTTAAAAGAATACTCCACCCAGAAGTGAAAATTCTTTCATTTATTCACTCTAATCGTAGACATGTATATGTAAATCCCACATTTGACCGCTCCAGACACATCCGCCATCTTGGAACGGTCAGCGTGTCGTCACAGTTACGGTCATCACACTAGACTTTGAGCGCACAAAATTTATATGGACAGGACACTGTAACGGGCGTGATGTAATGACACTGCGGTGTCTTTTTTTTACAAACATGAATTCAACGTACTCGCTACGCATGCGTGTTCTTGCTCGCTCTAGATTCTGGGAGATTTTAACTAATTTGTGGGCATCAGGGAGAAGTCATATATAAAGTACATCCTTAGAGTAAATAATGTGAGAATTGAAATTTTTGGGTGGAGTATCCCTTTAAGGTCCAGTACAAAAGTTGTTACAGTAATTCAGCAGTTTAATTCTCTGCAGGTACCTGTGTGATTTTGTATACTACTATTCACTGTACCATGGGCAGGGAAAGGCTGTGCTGATCCATGTGCCAGCCTCAGGAAGCCTGGCAAGTCCAGAGAGACTGGTACCACAACTCCAGACCATCATCCACGCTCTGTTACGCCAGCTCGACAGCTCTGCAGACACAACCTCAGAGTCTGTGGACAGCACACAGGTAGAAAACATCCCCCATAAAACACAATCCTGTCAAGTAGACCACGTATTGTAAATTAAATAAGTGACACTTGACACTAGACTTCATACTCATTCATTTTTTTAATTCAAAATTTAAGAAAAAAAGAAAATACATGAAAATTCTTCAGATATACATTAAGCCAATGGCATGTAAAAAGACTACCATCTCAACTGGAGGTGAGGAGAAAACTGAAAAACAGGAGGCCTTAGATACATAACTTAAAAGAAGACGAGAGTACCAGCCAAGTCATTTCATCATCAGTTTCTACCAATCAATGCAATGACACAGAGATTTTTTTCTTTTTTTTTCTTTTTTTTGTGAAAGGTAAATAAAGTGTTATTAAACTCTTTTCAGTACAGTAGTTCAAGGCCCCGTTTGAAATTTGTTGGAATGCCAAGCAGAAACAACAGTGCCTGGAAAATGATGTCTGTGAAACCTCAAGCTCATTATTGCAATTAAAATGCATACATGCATCTGTTCTAAACCTGAGGTTTTGCATTATGAAGAAATATAATAAAATAATAATAGTTCTCACGATAGTTGAGGAAAAAAAATCTTTCAGTCAATCTACCTTCAGGTTTGCGAAAACTTTCATTGCAACAGAAGCTATTTCTACTGTAAACTTGTCTCTTTTTTATTTTAAATTCTAGTCATGTTCTCGCTCTCTCTGTGTCATGACTACCCGTAATCTACTGGACATCGCGGTCCTATCTGTGTATGCGTTTCTGTAGAACTGTAACCTACTGGTAACTAAGGAACCTTGGCAGCATTCAATGAAAACTGACATTCACTTTGCAACAGGCCAATGCTTTTGTCCATATTCCTTACAGGAAGAAATAAGAAGCAGAAATAAATAGTGATATCTATAATTTTCCATTATAAACACATCAAAATCTTCATCACTACATCTACGCGTGATACACTCCCACCCATATACATACGCAACATTTTATAGAATGGTTATTTCGATCATCTTGTACCACACAGAATAATATTCTTTTCTAACAATGTGCCTCTCAGCATCCCGACCAGGTATCCTCTACAAGCGCCCTTGTTTCCAACCCCTGGAGTTCAAAAGATTAAAAAAGAAGAAGAATATTTTAAGTGCCATGAAACAGAACGGCCAGGGGTTGTAAGACCGTGACTTTCTCCGAATCCTCTTTGCAATTTAATCGTCTGACTCTGACCCATCTGTTTTTAATGGTTGTTTGCAGAGAGAAAGCATGTTGCTTAGATCCACCACCTACCCAATGCTATTGGCAAGACTATTTGTAGTCTCTGTAAAGCAGCATGTTGTCAGCAGCAGTAGAAAAGAGAGGCAAAACTACAGCCCTTTCTCCCTCTAGAGAATGATGTCGATGAATACGCCGACAACAATTGGCCCTTTATATATTGTACTCGCTAGACCATGTGGAGTGCAACTGACCAAACAAATCAGTTGGAATGTTTTTTCCAGGTAGGTTTATGAGAAGGGAAAAAAATCCACTGGTTTGTTATAAGAAAGTGTTACGAAATCCACAGTATTCATTCGATCGTTTGATGCTTTGGCCAAAAGGTATTAGAGCAGACTGCAGCAAAAGAGATGGAAGATTATCTTATGATGTTATAGTTATCAGTGTATTAAAGTCATAGGCCATTGACAGATGTAGGAGACTGACATTATTGTGCACAAGAACACAAGATCTCCGTTGATGCTGCAAATGAGTTTTTGCTAAATAAGATCCTTTTAACTAATGGAAAATTTAACATCATGTAGAGCTTTCAATGAAAACATCATATCTGGACTCAAATCTATTTTTTTTTTGTCAAAGTCTTGGTCTCAAGTTACTCAATATGACGATATTATATGCTCTCCTGAACCTTTATGAACAGATGTTTGATTGATTAGATAGCAAATAAGTGGTGATCAGTGAAAAAGAATATTAAATACCAAAAAAGAAAAAGAAGAACACTTGATAGCTGATAGCAACGAACGGTTTTATCTCTAAGGTCCATAATGAAGAAACCATCTGGTGAATTAGGTATTTTAACACGATTATTTATAAAAGTATTGCAGTGTGATCGAGAGCAGTGCGATTTTTGCGTTGCCAGGCATGTGATAAGGTTTACACCATGACTTCCTCTCTCTCCACTTCTGGGAGCTTGTACTCTGTGGTGCTTTTTTTTTTTAAATCAGAGACATGACAGATGATGATAAGGTGTCCATTATAGAAAAAAAAAAAATCGAGATGTATTTTATAATTTCATATACATACACATTTAAAAAAATAAAAGAGAATGAGGTAGATAGATGCTGAAGGAAATGAAAAAAGAAAGTCCCCCAGTCATGACATCATGGAAAATGCATCTAGAATCAGACTTTATACTAAATCATAAGGGCATTTGTACAGTGATTTCAACTGGTATCACACACACACAAAAACAGGAAATTAAATAAATACCCCTTCAAAGGGGGAAAATAACCTTCTAAGACAGGATAAATAAGTCAACGTGGGTAACGTTCCCAAATACACACGAAGAAATTCTTCAAAACTAAACTTTTTTTTTTTTTAAAGCCAACTAGCCAGGGAAACCTTTTGTTTTATTTAGCAATCTTTGAAGAAACCGATCACTTCTCTGAACTCGAACCGATTCTTATTTGGTTACGGATGGCATTGTTCATTGCATGGATTTATAAAATCGAGGTGGTTACTGAGATTACGAATACATCTCTTTTGGAGGCGATACAGGCTGGTTGGCATATGCGAGACAAATTAAGACAACCCGATTAGCCCTGTTAGTTGCTATTCAGTTACATGAATGGGTTACAAAAATAGTCTATGAGGGTAAAGAAATGTAAATGAAAACTTCCATGTCAATGCCTGGCAGGAGGCATGAGCACGAACACAGACATACTGTACGGTTTACTACACTGTAAGGAGAGGCCAGCAACTAAAAGCTGAAGTGGAATCAGTTATGGGAACATGATGTTTGGAGAACAAAACCGTAACATTAACCTGAGATTGAGCTGCACCTCGTGAACAGGTGCAATGGTAGACAACTTTATCAAGGGTGCCTAAAGTTCACATGCAGAGCTAAAGGAGTTTGTTGCATCTAATAATAATAATAATTAATAATAATAATATAGAGAAATGTTAAACACAAGGCAATGGACATGTGGCAATGCAGACAACCTCTTAGGGAGAAAAAATAAATTGCTATCCTCTTTTTTTCTTTTCTTTTTTCTTTTTTTGCAAGAAGAGTATAAAGCATAAGAAAATGGACTGTAGTGGAGATATCATAAAATATTAAACCTGAAGGATTTCCATATACTGTACATACACACACACACACATACATATATACATATGTATGTATATATATACATAGATACATATGTATGTATATATATATATATATATATAACACTCACCAAAGAAAAACAATAGCAGCTTCTTTCTGTACAGACAAAGAACATCAGAACTGTAAAAAAGTTATCAAAAGTGACTCAAACCAATGATTTGTGTGTAAATGATCTTGTGGTCTAACATAGAACTGTAAGACCCTTCTCAGAATCATATGATTTGTACAGAGAGACTAATGACTAGTCTAAAAAAATACCTGCTGTGTACAATGCCTCACTCATCCCACAAACAGATGAAGCCCCTCAGTTTGCTTCATGACAGAGCTGATCCCTTATAATTCATATACGCCTCGCCATTAGTGGCATGCTCTTTCCTTTTGACTTGAGACATTGCTTTCACAGAGGCTCAGCTCACAGATGGTGTGTGCAGCAGGAACTTCCATGCAATAGTCGAAGATCAGATCCATATAAAAAGGGGAAGGATTTACAAACTCAAGCTGATTGTAAAAGATGAGGTCCAGAATTCCCCCATCAAAGACAGTATGAGAGCTTAGTCCCTCGATTGCGCTACTTCAAAGTGCAACCTTGAAAAATCGGCTGTGGGGGGTTGTGATGTAATGATAAATAACTTTTGATTTGGCAAAAATTTGGCAGTTTCAAAAAAAGCCCACCTCACTCTCAAACAAACACCCTTGAAATGGATTAAGTAGAAGGGTGGTTTCAACCAGTAACGTAACCAATTACTGATTGAGAACAATCGATCGCAGCTAAGAAAGTCTTGCGCCATTTTGAAAGAGAAATGTGTGACAGTTTTGGAGGAAGAAATGTACTTGCGCTGAAGAGGTGAATGTGTATTTTAGTATGAAAACACACTTGTATGCACCCTGAAAGCGTTCACGGGCTGGGCTTGCTGGCTAATATGCTTGTCTCTCTTGTTTCACAATGAACTGGCAGGTTTTCCTCCTTTAGAAAACATTAAAACAGTTTTTTTTCTGACACAAGTGAAAGCCAGCCTCTCTAGTGTGGTGGTTCATTTTGAAAACTTAAATATTGCAAGAGTTTTTGTAGGCTTTTTCTGTCACTAATCACCCGAAACATCCTCCATCATTCGAACAAAATGATCCACTGACTTCCAGGAAGGACACCGTCCTTTTGGTTGTCGACTCCATGGTCAGCCCTGGGGTTTTGACTCCTCGAGAATGAAAGAAAAAACACATATGAGGGAAATGTGGGTACCCTGTGTCAGGAGTTGAGGGAAACTGAGCAGTCGTGATCAGCAGGCCGATGACTGAGGCAGTGGCAGCGCTCGCTCGTTCTTCCGTCCCCCGTTCATGTGCGCGTAGGGCTGCGTCTCATCGAACGCAGGCCCTAACAGCACCACTGGCCCGTTTGCTGTTATCTGTCCTGGGTGCTTGTCTAATGCCAGGCCCGGAGAGGCTGAGGAGGAGGGCGTTGAGGTGGAGGAGGTTAGGGCGGACCCCATTGGCGTCCCGGGCCCCTGAGCTGGGGAGAGCGGCTGTGGACTCTGAGTCTGAGCCCCTGTGCTCCCCTGAGAGGAGGGGGCTAATGTGGAAGCAGGATCCAGTGGAACGTTCTCCATGTTCTCCACCTCCATGTCCAGTTCCTCTGTGTCGGGGGGCTTGTTCTCCTCGCTGTAGAAAAAGCTTACCTCCGGGAAGGGCGGCTCCAGTTCCTCTTTTATGCTGTTGATGATCTCCAGAAAAGACGGTCGCATTTTAGGGTTGTACTGCCAGCACATCCGCATCAGTTCAAACCTGTAGACCAGATACACATATAGTGTTATAGTTTGAAGTTGATCAGAAGTCACACGAACTATTAGAAATAAAAGTTACTATGACGTAATCCAATAAACTGACTGTGAACTGCAAATAATGTACACTAAAAACAAAAGATTTGCAAAATAAATTATTCTTACGAATTAATTTTAGTGAAGCAAAACACACTGTGCAACCAGTGTATCAAATCATTTTAATGAATCAAAAATGTACAGAATGAACATATAAGCCTGATTCCTGTAATTAAATGACCAGAATAAGCCAGTTCTTTTAATCAATACTTTAAAAAGATTATTTACCAGTTTGAA